TGCAAGGAATTTTATGAGCCAAATAGGGCAGGTGTGTTTCGCTCCATTTTAAAAGGTGGATGCTGAGACCCAGAGTGATAAAGCAACTTTCCCAAGAAATAAACTAGTATCTAGTCCTGGAGCCAGGACTAGAACCCCGGTCTTTTCATCTGGCCAGTGCTCAGCCCCTGACACCTGCTCCAGGGCACAGCGAGCTACATAGGGAATTTGAAGTGGTGCTATTTGAGAATTAATTTTAAATTGTTTCTCTTCTTACACTGGTCTTAAATTGGCCAAAAAAATGGCAGACACCAAAACAAATCAGCGAGACAGCTCTCAAAGAAAGACCGCCCTTTAGGTGGCTGTTGGTGTCATCTCTCAAAAGATTTCTCCTAGCTCCTATGCTTTGCTGACTGACCAGTGTCCTGGAAGAAAATCTCCCCTGCTTCATGCTCAGTGCTCTTCCAAGAGAAAAGGCAGGAGAGAGCTGAGGTGATATTTTTTCAGTCATACAGATTTTAGGAATTAGATCCACATGAAGGGTGTTGGTGAGCCTTGTGTATGTTCATGTTGTTCCAATGTCTTCTCTGTCCTGTTAAAAAGGAACTCACAGGAACTTAAATACCACGAAAAATCTGCATTTGGCAGGTGAAGTATATGGTCCTTCAAGAACCGACAAAGAATAATGGGAATCAGAAAAAGAAGCCTAGCTTTTCATAGGCTTTGTCTGCATCCTGCATGTTATGTAACAATGTACTAATTATACTCCCTCCCTAAAATCCTGATGTGGTGCTGCAAGATAGTGCATGGGACCGCAAGGTCGGTTTGAACAGTAAGGTCGGCAGTTCAAACTCACAGCCACTCTTCAGAAACCCTATAGAGGGTCACTATGAGTTGGAACCAACTTGACGGCACTTAACAACAACGAAATCTTACAGACTCTACTTGGCTTGATTTTCTGTTTGACAATATTTGTTGAGGCTCTACTACTTGGCAAGAACTGTGCTAGACTCTGATCATACAGCAGTGAGTCAAATCTATAGATTCCTTGCCCTCGGGGACTGACAGCGAGACACAATAAAGCAGAATACCTCCAAATGCAAAAAAGATGGTATCTAATCTTTTTTAAAACTTCCTCAAGGAAAAAAAGACAGACACCAAGCAATTTCAGTAAAATGATATGATTATTGTAATATTAGAAATGTCCAGTAAAAGGGCAAGGGAAACATTCCTAGCAGAAGAAATAGCATGTGTGAAGGCTCAGAGATGGCAGCAATATAGAGTAAGGTGAAAATGGGGTGGGAGGCTGGTAGAAGCTAAAGGTGCAGGGCCTTCTAGACCTGCTCAGTTCACTATGGCAGCCACTCATCACGTAGGGCCACTGAGCACTAAATGCCCGAGAGGAGATGTACTGCAAGTATATATTACAAACAAGCAAACAAATAAACTCGTTGTCAAGCAGATTTTGACTCATAGTGACCCAATTGCCCCATAGGGTTTCCAAGACTGTAATCACTACAGAGAAGAGTGCTGGTGGAGCTGTTGTTAAGTGCTTAACTATTCACTGACAGATCAGTCATTCAAACGCACTAGTCAGAGGAGAAAGCAGTGAAAGTTGACAGCTTTGGTAGACCTGTGGGGCAGTTCTACTGTGCCCTATAGGCTTACTTTGAGTCCGATTTCACAACCAACACTCATAAAAACAGCAGTCAAGAAATCAAACGACATAGTGTTTTAGGCAAATCTGCTGCAAAAGACCTCTTTAAAGTGTTCAAGAGCAAAGATGTCAGTTTGAGGACTAAGGTGCGCCTGACCCAAGCCATGGTATTTTCAATTGCTTTACATGCATGTGAAAGTTGAATAATGAATAAGGAAAACTATAGAAGACTATGGTCTATGATGTTGGAGAAGAATATTAAAAGTATCACGGACTACCAGAAGATGAAACAAATCTGTCTTGAAGGAAGTGCAGGCAGAATGCTGCATCGAAGTCAGGAGGGTAAGACTTCATTCTCATACTGCAAACATGTTATCAGGAGGGACCTGTTTCAGAAGAAGCACATCATGCTTGGTAAAGTGGAGGGTCAGTGAAAAAGAAGACTTCCAAAGAGATGGATCGATCCAGTGGCAGCAGCAATGGGATCAGATGTAATAATTGTGAGCATGGCTCAGGCCTGAGCTGTGCTTCCCTCATAGGGTTATGAGTTGGAACTGACTCGACAACACCTAACAACAACAAATGCGTAAGAATCAACTCAGTGGCAATGGAGTTTTTAATCTTTATAGAAGCAGATTGCTACAGCTTTCTCCAGCACAATGGCTGGTGAGTTCAAATTGCTGACCTTTTGGCTAGCAGTCAAGTGCTTAACTATTGAGCCACCTGGGCTCTTTAAGTATATGTAAGTATTACATACTAGATTTCTAAGATAGTGCACAAAAGATGTAATATATCTCATTAACAATTTTATATCAATTATTTGTTAAAATGATATTTCGGATACATTGGGTTAGATAATAATATTTAAATTAAATTTTTTTAAAAAAATTAATTTTGTTTTTAAAAACTTTAATGTGGGTGCTAGAAAATTTCAAGTTGTATAATAAACTCACATATATTTCTGTTAGATCGCATTCTTCTAGACCACGTTTAAGCAATCTGGACTCTATCTGGAGAGTATTGGGAAGGTTTTGATGTATTTTAAAGGAGGAAGTGATATGATCCGATTTGCATTTTGAGAAGACTGGGTGGTAGGAAAATGGGACAAGAAGTGGATTAGATGGAGTGGTAGGGAGAGCAGAGAGAAGTCAAACTGCTAACGATAGGCTGAAATTGCCATCTTTCTCAGTCAAAAATAGCTGAGTATGGGAAAAACCAATAAGGGCCAAAGTTGGAACTGAGCCACAAAACAGAATTAATTGCATGATAACTCAAAAAAAAAAAAGGCTAGTGTAAATATCCATGAGTTCATAATGACATGAATAAATGAATAAATAAACGGAGAAGCAACAATTCTTTCTTATAGAAATAAATATAGGAAGAATGAGGGAAATAGGGAATCTACATTAGCACATCGCAGTAACACCCATTGATGGTGAAATGAGTGAACAAACGTTTAAGCCAAACAGGTGATTTGCATAGTCTTACAGCATCTCCCTCTAAACATTTAATGATCATGAAGGGAAAAATACAACCCTTACAGTGGAGATTTCAGGCAACCATCCCCTTAGCCAAATGATCATGGTAAACACCATCATCTATTCCCTGACATGAGGCACTGAGAAGGGACCTCCCCAAGAACGCACAACCTCCTTCTAACCATGAAAAAACCTCAGACAAACCCAAATCTAGGGACACTCTACAACATCTTTGAGCAGGACTCTTCAAAAGGAAGACAAAGACTGAGATGGGAAGCGACTATGATGACATGGGAACCAAACTGCAGTTGTGAGACTGGATGGGCTCCTAGAATAGAACACAAATTGAAACGTGTAGAAAACCAGGTAAAATGCAAATATGTGCTTTACTTACTAGTTTCGTTGTTGCTGTTGTTAGTTGCCGTGGAGTGATGCTGACTCATGGCAATCCCCATGTGGGTACAGAACTGCCCCAGAGGATTTCACAGCTGTGACCTGAAGGGTAGATCACCAGGCCTTTTCCCAAGTCACCATCTTTTGGCAAGAGGTCCAGCACTTAACCATTTGTACCACCCAGAGACTCCTGAATACTGTACCAGGTTAATTCCTTCCATTTGATAAATGTTCTGTTGTTGCTTTAGTTAGGTGCCATCTAGTAGGTTGTGACTCAGTGACCCTGTGAGTTACATGTTGTAAGGGAAAGTGGGGTGAAGAGTATATAGGGACTATTTTTGGAACTTTAACTACAAACATATCTAAAATTTTAACTGTTGAGACCGTTGGGTATCAGCAATATGTTTTAACTCAATATAACCCAGCTAAGAAACAACTTGCTGAAGTGCTAATACTACAGTAACATCCTGTTAACATGCTGCAACTCTGTCTCAGGTGGAGTCCTGAGGTGCTGTAGGATAAACACTGGACTGCTAACCACAAGGTCAGCAGTTCAAACACACCAGTCACTCCTCAGAAACCCTGCTAAGTTGGAACCGTTGGCCCTGTCAGTACAGGGGACTAGGCTTTGGGGCAAGCAGAGACTCCTTCAGCCACCTTCTCCTGTCCCCACTTTGGAAGGCCTGCCACCAAGAGAAAGTGTTGTGGGGGGGGGGGGGAGGGTTCAGGATGGTGCACGTTCCCAACGCCCAAGGAGCACAGCAGCAACGTGCCCTTCTCCAGCAGCTGTTAGGTGGTGCTAGGTTTCCAAGATAAGAGGTAGCAACAGGTGCATGGATGGCAAGCCACTGATTCTAAACTGGTGCCAAGTGAGGACATAGCCACTTACCAGTGCTTCCCAGCGAGCCAGACTCTAGGTCAAGGGTGAAGTCTGTACGTTGAAGATGTTGTCCTGACCAGATTTCAGAGCAAAGTAAAATGTAGCACTTACAGCTCCTATTTCTTTCAAGAGTGACTAGCAAATCTTTCTCTTCAGAAATGGGTTAGCTTTCATGCAGCTTAAGTACCAATGTTTCTTACATTTAAGGCATCACTTAAGGATCTGAGTCAATTTAACTTCTAGAGGTGAGCAATTTACTCTTGGTGTAATGGGTCAGGCTTCTTTTCATTTGCCACAGCAGTCTCATTGGCTGTAATTACTCACTGTGGTGTTCCCTTTAACTTAAGATACTTAACAAGGCATTGCTGAGAGTCAGCGCTATAAAGATCAACCCCAAATCATCAAAATGGAAAATTATGTTAAAAAATTTAAATGTATTGGCTTCTTAGAACTTCAGGCTCTCATATTATCCTAATAGATAGATACATGTTAGGTACATTCCTGATGTTATGAATTTGAATGAGGCCCTCAGAAAAATGCAGAAACTAAGTCACTGGATGATCAATGCCAAGGTCAGAGTGAGTTTTCAACAAATGCAAGCAACCAATTATATATATACCAAAGGAAATTCTTTATTGTAAACAAGATATAAAGTACAACAAAAGAAATATTGTGCAAACTGTAAGAGTCACAAGGATTTTTTTTTTAAGTGGAAATTCTTTTTTGTTTTCCAAGGGTCCAAGTTTTGATGTCAGAAAATCTAAACCTGATATACAGAAAAACATTAAATGGGACAATATAGTGACATTTTTCACTATATATTTTACTCTTGTTTTATCATTCACTAAATAGCAGAACAACAGAAATACTGTTAACAAAAGTGAATGTCCTAATAATTTTCGACCCACCTAGTTCCACATCGCTCCCAAACTCCTATAAATTAATAAGACAACCTTTCTGTTTGTGAATAATGGTCATAAACTTTCTACTCAGAACACATTATATATCCTTACAACATAAGGATACTTTACCAATGACATAAGCCATCTTTTTCAAGGAGTTATCTAACATTCTTGATATTCCTTCTTTACAATATGTATTTTCATCTTCAGATTTTCTTCCTAAACAAAGTGCAATGCATCTTAAGAGTCTACGGAAAACACGTTGATATACAATTTTCAAATACACACAGGAAACTGCAGGCAAACTAAAGTTCAAAGCATAATAATATGCCTAGATATAGTAATTTGTTAAACTTTCAAAAGAAAAAAAAAAAAAGAAAAAAGATGTAGCTACATCTTAAAGCAATTAAATTAATGAGGATTCCAATTCTTTGGGCCCTCGTTAGCAATATACAGCCATTCAATTCCAAGTATCAGTAATAGTGAAGAAATGCTAATTCTAGATATAGTTAACAACTATGTCCACAAAGCTGACTGGAAAGACTAGGAATAGGAAACAAGATAACTCTAGGAAAAGATGACAGTATTAGTAATACAAGCCAATTTTACATTTCCGTCTCTGTACCGTAACGGTGACTTCCAGTCTCTACATTCTTGAAACCAGTGCTTTAGAAGCAATCACATTGAAAAGTTGGTCTCAAGTATTAACAGCAAAAGTAAAGTAACAAATTGTGCACACAAATTAAAAACCTGTGCTACCTGTGTTGACTTCATCTGAAACCTTCAAAAAATATTCGAAAGAATAAAAGCTTTCTCATCTCTCTTATGTGATAAGAAATGAAACCTGCCATTCTGTGACCTGTCTGTAGCCTCAGCACATCTGTCATCTAACTCAGGCTGGGCCTGTGCCCTGGGCTGGGGGGCTTCTGCGTTCAGCCCGCACCAGAGGGCCACAGACTTGCAGTGGAAGAATTTTTAATATCGCCACTGGCTTCTGGCTGTGACCAGAGTTAGTTTTGATCCGTCATCTTCTGACCCGTCACTGCGTGGGAGCAGGGGTTGGAGGTAAAGCAATGTCATTTAACTTGCTCACTTCCATTTGCCAGTTTGGTAGCTTCTTAGCTGACAGATGGCGCCGTGCATGCTTGGTCAAATGGTCACTCCTCATGAACCGCCGATCACACATGGGACAGGCGAATTTCTTCTCACCCGTGTGGGTTCGCCTGTGTCGGGAGAGTTCATCAGAACGGGCAAACCTCCTTTCACAACCTTTCCAGCTACAGCTAAAAGGCTTTTCTCCTAAAACAAAGAAATTCATATCATTGTTAGTGGACATTGTCACTGCAAATTTATGTACTCAATTACATCTAAAGGCACAGGAATAGATGTTACTTAAAATAAAGGCTACTTAATTAAGAAACTGTCAAATGAGTATCATGCATTTTTCAGTTTTCTCAACTTTGACCCTATCATATGATAAAAATATTTTCTTAATTAAAATAAAAAAAAGCTTTCTGATTTCAACATAAAAGATACTATATGTTCAAGTTTCTAAGGTACTTCTTTATTAAAGTAACCCATCAGGCATCAACAGTATCATCATTTGAGAGATCAATGGACTTTGCACTGGTAATCATCCACTGAACTGGCTCAGAAGGAAAATTCCCCCTTAAGATGCCTGGTTTACACTTGTGATCAGAAGCTACAAGAATTCTTTACTTTAGTGTCTAAAACTTATGTAAGAATCAATTGATACCTGTATGCGTTCTCATGTGGGCCTTCAAATGAGAACTCTTAAAGTACGTCTTGCCACATCCTGGGTGACTGCAGATGTGACTTCTTATTCTCAATGAGTCAATCTGAGGAGTGACTTTCGCTGCTGTAGGGGAAAAGCCTGGAGCAGGGGCAATGGGAGAAAGTCTGGTGCCATTTGGGCTCACCACTGGAGGCTTTGGATTCGGGACAACAGGCTGGGGAACAACAAACATGACAGCACCTTTGGGCACCTGAGTGCCCATGAATACAACAGGCGGGCAAACTGGTGGCTGACTGGGTGGAGTGCTGGGAACGACTGTTGTCACAACAGGATTATTGGCAGGGAGGGGAACCATCTGGCAGATGACTGGCATAGGTGGCACGCCCCCTGGTGAGACTGTGGATGGAGACACCAACACAGACTTATGTTGTGGAGACACAGGAGCAGGCTGAGATCTACAAATGACAGTCTCTGAGGAAGGCACAGAAAAGTCATAAAGTGTAGCACGTGCTTTCTCATCAACATCTGCCACTGTGCTTCGTTCACATTTGGATCTGCTTGGTGACACAGTGGCACATGGTACGTTTTTTCTTGTGGCCTCAACATTTAGGTGGGTTCTTCTTCTTTGGAAAGAATTGTCCTGATAGTTGAGGATGCTGGCTGCTTTCACCGGGCAGGACCTGTGGTTACACAGCTGGGCATCAGCTGTATGACGGATCACACTTGTTGCCTGAGCCTTCGGTAGTTTGGGGGCTGATACTGGAGTCTTCTCTTCCTCTTTGAAAGGGGGAGCCATGTGAGTCTTGGAAGTATCAGAGAATGCTTTGAAGTGTCCAGTAGATGGCGCTGGTGCCATCAGACTTGACACTTGAGAGGGTTCAAAGTCAGAAGGACTGTAAGGAGGAGTCAAACACTGAAGAAAAGAGAAATATACAGGCATCAGCATGAGAAACTTAAGTCATGTGAATTACTAGAGGTTCTATCATTTGCTTTTGTCATCTTAAAAACAATGAATACTTACAAATGCTGGGATTGTGTGGAAATCGGGTGTTCCAGGAAGCAGATTCTCTTCCTCTGACATATCTGACCCTGGTGTCACAGGTCTGTTTTCAATGTATTTCTTAAAATCAGACTTCCAACTGCAGCTCATTGACATAAGGGCTTCCACAGCTTCAAAATCACCCTTCTCTGCAGTTTTGTTCCAAGAATACATGTTCTCTTTGGACCTTTCAGAAATCATTTCCATTCTGTCCTCCTACAAAACAAACCGTAAAGCTTATGAGCCTATTTTCTCATTCCATGACAAGGAGGAATGAGTTTTCTTTTTTAATTGACAATCTGCACTTTTCAAATCAATATTTTAAAAGACAACCCTCCCCCCCGCCCATCACCGCTACTCTGATATTTTTAAAGTGACAAATATTCAGCTATATTCGTCAGGTTACCCAGACTTATGCACTGGCATCGAAATCATCCTCATTTTCAGGCTTGAACACAGATATCCTTATCAGAATAGAGTGCAAACACCTTAGTCTTAAAATCAATGACCAAGTGTATCAACACATGGAACTAGCATTAGAGATCATTGGTTTAGAAGGAAGAGATGCTTTTATATTGTCCCTAGAGTAGCTAGCTCCCTGCAGCTGAGGGACCAAATGACTAGAGAAAGTTCTGGGAGAAAAAAAAAGAGAATTTTTTTTTTCCAATGCTACAAGCCTGATGAGTTATTAATTTCTAATAGAAATACAGTCCAAAACTTTCTTATCAAGGCCAAGTTGTTTAAGAGACAGAGTTCCCACCTTCTGACATGGGTTTGACCTTTGAAAAGTCATTTTGCACTCTGGGATAAAAACCAACAGGATAAATTAACCTCAGGGTCTCTAAAATTAAAGTCACGTTAGATTATTTACAGTCTGAAATCATTTGATCATTCCATTATCAAGGCTAAACAGAAGTCAAATGAAGATTGTGGGGCCATCTCAAAGCTTTATTTATACGCAAGCTTCAACTTATTTGGGTTTGCTCCCTTTAACTGGATCTATTTAACACAAAGGGTTGTTATGCATCATTATGACTAGATCATGCAGGAATACCAAAAACCTAGATAATCAGAAGATGTAATTTTCCACTAATAATTTTCAAAAACCCTGACTGTAAAAATGAACTCTCCAAGACTCAAAACAGAAGCTGCTTTATTTATTTGATTACAAAATTAAAGGCATATGCTTTATAATTATTCGTACAGCTGCTCTATCAATTATTTAATGCTAGAGTTTACATTCCATTTTTTTTTTAAGGCACTATCCTTCCCCATTTTCTACTTTAAATAATTGCTGAGATTTTGATCAACGTAGGGCTGTACAAACATATCGAAAGAAAACATTCTTTACATTAGAAAATATTACTCTCAACGTTTATTTTTTAAAAATGCACCATGCTTTTGTGCAGAAATTCTAAGATAACGAGCCACGGCTGTAGAAAAATCACTAACAATGCAATTGCATAATCGCGCAGGTCTTTATGTAAGAGCCGATGGACAGCGCATGTATGTGTAAAAGCCTCCTCGAGACGCCCAGGCAAAGAAAGGAAAAAAAGAGAAAGGCAGGCAGCAGGGGAGTGTGAGCAGGAAGGGAAACCAGGAGGGGAGGAAAGGGAGTGGGGCGCGAGGCAGGAAAGGGAAGCGGAGGCGCGGGCGGAGGCGGGCGGCGGGGGAGATCCTAGTTGGCGGGGAGAGATGGATGGGGCCGCCCTAACCTCAAAGAGGCTCGCGGGTGAGTCACTGGGAACATTCCTCGCCACTCGCACGTCCCCGCGCGCCAGCCATTGGCCAGCCAGACAGGAGACCCGCGCCCCGATTGGCTGGCCCGCGAAGGGCGAGGGCGAGGGAGGAGGGGGCGAGGCATGTGAACAAAGCGTGATCCGCGGCTGCTCCCGGCGGCGCTGGAAACGTGAACTGGGAATTGCCGCGCCGTCACCTTTCACCTACTTCCTGAGCCCGCGGGCCCCCGCCCTCGCGCCGGCCCGGGGGAGGGGCCGCGGCCGCCGCCGCCAACCGCCCGGCCGTGCGCGCCGGAGCCGCGGGGAGGGGCGGGGCCGCCCTGCTCCGGGAGACGCCCGCCCCTTCTAGCTCCCGGCGAGCCGCCGTTCCCTTAGGAACCGACAGCAGGGCCGGGCCTCGCTCCCGCTCCCGCTCCTGGCGGAGGCCGGGGCTGGGTCACTCAGGGACGAGAAGCTCCCCCGGCGCACCCGCTCCCGGCCCGCCCCCGGCCTCAGCTGCCGGAGGAGGAACTGGGTCCCCGCGGAAACCCGGCCCCCGCCCCTCAACCCCCGGGGGCCCGGCCGAGCCCTCGGCGCTTCCCGCCCACGCCGCCCGCGGGACCTCAGCCCACCCCGTCTCTCCCTCCCCGCAGCTTCCGGCAGCTCAGGCCCCAGCCGCGCGTCCCCAAGGGTTCCCAGACGTGCGCCCCCGCTGCGGCCCCCGCGTCTCGCAGCCCCGGTTCCCCCTCCCATCCTCCAGCCCCCAGGCGGCCACCTGCCTCGCCAGGGATGGGGAGTCCCCTCCCCAAGTCTGAGGGAGGCCACTCCCCGTCTCCCCTAGGCGGGCCCGCGTGCCGTCCCGCGCGCCCCCGCCGGCGCCTCCATCCCGACTCTGTTCAGCAGCTCCCGTCCAGCGGGTTCCATGCAGACCCCTAGCTAGGCAGCCCTTGGAAACGCTGCCCCTCATAGGCTCGCCAGCAATCCCCTCCCACCCTGGTCCCCATTCCAGATGCAGCTTGAGGCACCTTTCACCTGTGCCAGAGGCAGAGTGCTCTCCTTCCGTCCCCACGCTCCCCTTTCACACCTTCCCATTCTCGCTGCCAGGGCAGCAGCCCCCTCCCCACTGGTCTAATACGCCACTCTTCTTCCCCCGCACCTGGCCCCTGGGTCCCCTCACTACACCTGGAGCAGGACCTCTCTCCACTAGGTTCCAGATCTGGGTCCGCATTTGCTGACCCGTTTCCCAGCACACACGGCCTCAGCAATTCACAGTGTGCAGTCAAGAACCCCTTTTCCTCCTCACGACTCCGCTGCAACCCCGTTCTCAGGCGTGGCTGATATCAGGGACTCAAGGTTCGCGTCCTTGCTGGCCCTCCAGACCCGGCGGGGCAGGGGCATCCCCAGGTGACTTACCGCAGCCTGCTGGAGAGAGGCACCAAAGTTGAGCATGGTTGGCTGCCTGGTAGCTGGCGGCAAGCTGACTGGCTGCTAGGCTGCTTGGCTGCCTGGCCACAGACGTGCGCCCAGAGACTCTCGACGTCGCTCCCGCCGCCGCCGCGCTCCGCGCCGTCTGCCCCCTCCCCATTCAGGTAGCCGCTCTGCCTGCCCGCGCCGCGGGCGGGGGCGGGGGCGGAGCCTGCGGCAGGCCAATCAGCGGCAAAGGTGTGTGAAGCGCCGGCCAATGAGCTCGCGGGGCCACGCGTGATCAGCGGCTGCCCGGCAGCGTGAAGTCTGTGTCAGTGAAGCGTGTACACAATCACCAGCAGCATGTTCCCTCGGCCCGACGGGGGGGAACTCTCGCCGCCACCCGATTCAGTGACATCCCCAACCCTCGCCCACCCACCCCGTTCCCCGCTCGTTCCCTCACCCGGCCTCGTGGTGCGGCGCCGCGGGCGGAGGCCGAGCGGGGAGGCACGGCGGTGGCGCGTCCGGCTTCGCTGAGGGCCGGCCCCACGTGGGGGGTGCGGAGAGATGCCAGCTCCGCCCCGGCCCTCGGCGCCCGCCCCACCCCTGCCAGCCCGGAGGTGGGCGGGACGCCGGGCGGGCGACAGAGGCGGTGGCTGCAACCCTAGGGGCCCTGGCCAACACATTTGCATTTGGAAGCGGCATCCCGCGCATCTGGCTAGAAAGCCAAGCTAGCTGACCCACCAAGTTGCATATGCCACACTTGCTGGGTCTCGGCTGGTGCAACCTTGGATGTGCGCCCCGTGGCGGGAGGCGCCCATGTCATTGGGGCGCGGCACCTGCTCCTGAGCCGCGGGTGCACACCCAGCCCAGCCTTCTTCCCGGGCAGCTAATAGGATGGTGAGGGACTGCAGGAAGCATCAGAAATTGGACCCATGAGATGGTGGAGACCCATAGACTCGAGATTTTTTTTTTTTTTTTTTCACATTTCTCTGTCTTCGACGCTGGGCTGCGGGATCCAATTTTGAGCTTGTAGATAGAAGTTTGCATTGCTATCTACAAACTGTTTCAAAGGTAGATCTACCTCTCTTCCGGCCAACGCATGAGGAAAAGCCCTGCCTATAAACCTCCTCTGTGTGTGTGTGTGTGTGTGTGTGTGTGTGTGTGTGTGTGTGTGTGTGTGTGTGTGTGTGAAGAGGAGGGGCCGGGGAGTATTCTAGTTCGCCTGGCGCCAGGGTACAATCTGATGGGGTTGCTGCAGGGATGCCTGCCAGGTGAAAGACACAGCCCACTCAGAGGCAGCCTAGACTTCTGCAACGAATCCCGCTTGCGCGGTTCCGCGGCTGTGCTCCGAGCTGGGGCCTGATGATCCGGAGCTCATGACCCATCTTTGGTTCCGTATTTGCCCCCTTTTAGTGTCTGTTCACAGCAGCTGATATTGGAGAGTGGGTAACGGTAACGGAGCTTAAAGCAAGCCAAAATTTTTTTCACCTCCTTGGGGCAAGCTGAATACCAGACAAAAATTACTTCTCCTCGAGGGAGCTGTCTCACTTCTCTGTGTACCTGAATAGATAATGCAAGTACTTTTTCTCTCGCAATAACCACATGGTGAGCTTAGAAAGGGAAGGAATGTTTTGAGAGACTGTTAACACAGGCATCTGATGATTCTTTCTAGTCTATCTAAAGGTCTGGGCTAGACAACTATACAAGTGATAATAGTATTATGCCAGGGGGGAAATTGACTAAATGGCCTCCTGTCAATGCCTCTTCTAATCAGCTGGAGGGCTGCCAGCACAGCTCTTCCTGCCTCCCACCTCCCTGCATCCCGCCTGTCTGCAGGGATGTCCTTCCCCGCAGGCTTCCTTCCGCCCAGGCTGTCCCATCCTGTTGATCTGAGACTGAGGGGCCAGAGCAGCTGGCCCTCAGCACCTGCTGCAGCGGAGGAAGCTCCCATCTGTGTCCAGCCACCAGGCCTGCCTGACTTCCTGTCAGAGGGCTGCCCACCTCGAGTCACCACAGTCCCTCCAGGTTTGAACCCAGTCCCTTCCTCAGGAATGTGGAGCCTTGTTGGCATGCCGTCGCCCCAGCACACCAAGAAGCAGTAAGCGATGGCTTCTGGGAGTAATTCAAAACAGGAAAGAAAAAAGAGGTAAGAGGAACAGACTGTGGTGGCACAATTCTCAGAGGTTCAGAGAAAGATGGTCCTCAGACTCAACATAATGCAAACTAAAATAGTTCTTTCAAAGCCTTCCCATAAGGGGGCCCTGGTGTAGCACTGTAGGATGAGTACTGGACTGCTAACCACAAGGTCAGTGGTTCAAACCCACCAAGGTCACTATGAGTTGGAACCAACTCGTCCCACTTACCAACAACAACCTCTTCCAGGATGGGCTCCTCTTCTGCCTCTTCTATCCAGCCTTCACCTTCCCCCTCAAAGTCCTGAGTCCATTGGTCCCCAAGCCCCAGAACTTTTGCCTGAGAAATGTCTCATCTTCCACATCTACTTCTTAAAAATGTTGATCTAGCTCCAGCTGGGATTTAAAAAAAAAAAAAAAAAAAAGTGCAGTCCCTCCAGCCCAAAGGCCATTCCCACCTCCAGCTCATTTTCAGTACTCAAACTCCACACTGTCACCTGAGTTACTTACTAAAAGTCATGATCCCATTGTGTCACTCCCTGCATAAAAATTGTCCATGGCTCCCTGTCACCTAGGAGATTAAAGGGCATTCCATTCAGAGCTTTGAAGTTGCGAATATGTTTGTGCTTACCTAAAGTAAAAGCAAGTTCCCTGAGTAATTAGATTTTTCTTTAGTATATAGTTACTTGGAATCCTGGAGTCGCACTGTGAGCTAAAAACTGGACTGCTAACTGCAAGGTCGGCAGTTCAAACCCATAGGATTTCCAAGGAACTGCTGGTGGGTTTAAACAACAAAGTTGTTGTTGTTAAGTGCCTTCGAGTGGGTTCCGACCCATAGCGACCCTGTACAGGGTTTCCAAGGGTGTAAATCTTTACGGGAGTAGAAAGCCTCATCTTTCTCCCGCGGAGCGGCTGGTAGTTTCGAACCGCTGACCTTAAGGTTCGCAGCCCGATTTGTAACCACTATGCTACCAGAGCGCAGCAGAGGTAAAGTCTCTCCATTTTCGCTTGCAAGGAGTAACCCGGCTGCCCTTCTTCCAAAACAGATTTGTTCATTTTTCTGGCAGTCCATGGTACTTTCAATATTCTTTAACACCACCACAATTCAAATGCATCAATTCTTCTACTGTCTTCCTTATTCATTGTCTAACTGTCACATGCATATTAGTTGTTGTTGTTGTGGTGGTGGTGATGTGCTGTGCAGTCGGTTCTGACTCATAAGAGACCCTGTATAGGCTTTCTGTGTCTGTAAATCTTTAGGGGAGCAGAAAGCCTCAGCTTCCTCCTTCAGAACCGCTGATTTTCCAATGATTAACAGCGCAACTCACAACCACTACCATACCAGAGCTCCTTGTTGTTGGCCATTCTGTCTCATATACACAACAGAAGGAAACACTGTGGTCCTGAGCCATCCTCACAATTGTTATGTTTGAGCCCACTGTTGCTACTACTGTGTCAGTTTTTCTCATTGGGGTTCTTCCTCTTTCTTGCTGACCCTCCATTTTACCAAGCATGATTGGTCCCTCCTTATAACATATCAGTAGTATGAGAGACAAAGTTTTGCCATCATGGCTTCTAAGGAGCATTCTGACTGTACTGTATCTTCTGACACATTTGTTTGTTCTTTTAGTATTTTTATTTTAATAGTCTTCTCCAACACCGTAATTCAAATACATCAATTCTTCTACAGTCTTTCTTATTCATTGTCCAATCTTCACATGCATATGAGGTGATTGAAAATATCATAGCGTGGGTCAGGCCATTGAAAATAGCATGATTTGGATCAGGCACACCTTAGTCCTCAAACTAATTTCTTTGATCTTTAGCACTTTAAAGAGGTCTTTTGCAGCAGATCTGGCTAATGTGATGCATCATTTGATCTCTTGCTGCTGCTTCCTTGAGTGTTGATTGTAGACCTGAGCAAAATACAAATGCATGGATTCTTCTACAGGCTTCCTTATTCATTGTTCAAATTTCATATGCATATGAGGTGATTAAAAATATCAGGTCTTGAGTCAGGTGCACCTTAGTCCTCAAACTGACAGCTTTGCTCTTTAACATTTCAAAGATTTGCCTAATGCAATATGTCCTTCGACTTCTTGACTGTGAGCCAAGCAAAGTGAAGTCTTTAATAACTTCAATCTTTTCTCTATTTATCATGATGTATTTGTTGGTGAGGATTTTTGTTTTCTTTACATCCAGGGGCAATCCCTACTGGAGGCTGTAGTCTTTGATCTTTATCAGTATTTTAAGCACTCTTCGTTTTCAGGAAGCAAATTTGTATCATCTACATATCACAGGTTATTAACGAGTCTTCCTCCAATCCTGATGCTATGTTCTTCTTCATATAATTGAGCTTCTTGGATTATCTGCTCAGAATACAGATTGAACAAATGTAAAAAAATACAATCCTGGCACACACCTTTCCTGATTTTAAACCAGTCAGTATCTCCTTGTTCTGATCTATGTACAAGTTCCTCATGAGCACAATTAAGTGTTCTGGATATCCATTCTTCACAATGTTATCCATACTTTGTTGTGATTCACACAGTCAAAAGTCTTTGCTGTCACTAAAGCACAAGTAAGCATCTCTCTGGTATTCTCTACTTTTAGCCAAGACCGAGCTGACATCAGCAATAATATCCCCAGTTCCATGTGCTCTTCTGAATCCAGTTTGGATTTCTGGCATTAACACTGATAGCAGCTGTTTTTTAATCATCTTCAGCAAAATTTTACTTGTAAGTGATATTAATGCTATTGTTTGATGATTTCTGAAATCAGTTGGGTCACTTCTTTTTGGAATAGGCACAAATATGGATCCCTTCTAATCAGTTGGCCATATAACTGTCTTCCAAATTTCTTGACATAGATGAGTGAGTATCACCAATGCTTCATCAGTTGGTTGAAAGATTTCAGTTTGTATTCCATCAGTTCCTGGAGCCTTGTTTTTCACCAGTGCTATCAGTGCAACTTGAACTTCTTCCTGCAGTACCACTGGTTCTTGATCATATTCTACCTCTTGAAATGATTAAACATTGACTGTTTCTTTTTCGTACAGTGATTCCGTGTATTCCTCCATCTTTATTTGATAGTTTTTTCATCGTTCTTTTGTCCAAAGAATCCTTCTATATTATAAGTTGAGGTTTGAATTTTTTCTTCAGTTCTTTCAGTTTGAGAAATGCTGATCATGTTCTTCCCTTTTGATTTTCTA